TTAGAACATAGCCACAAGTTGTCGTCATAATGATTGCAACGCAGTAACACAACCAGTTAAACCCATTTTCAATTCACCAAGACCATTGACTGTATTCGGTGGGGACAACCTAGCACCATACCTACTCCTAGCAGGCATATAGTCCCTAACGTCAACTTATTGACTGCGTTGAAAGATCTGACTTTTCTTCCCGATACTGCTACACAAATAACGCTTGAGCTGTTGCTATGCTTTTGTTATAGTTATGTATGTTAGTGCCTCCGCTGCACCAAAATACTTCATCCTCCTTTTCCTTTACGTTGAAATGAATTTCCTGTTTGTAAGCCACCAAAATTGTTTAACACGAAAGTGCTCTGTTTCCACTACGATCCTTATTCGAATGGATCTGCTGTGTATGACAGCAGGCATGCAGCTCTAAAACTCCACCACGCATACTATGAGTTAATATTTATTTATAATTGAAGAAATTCAAAGCTGTATTAAATCATCAAACAGGCTTCGTCGAAAACCTCTACGGAACCTTCGGTCATGAAATTATTTCGTAGTAGGAAGATGAAGGAAAATAGCTAATAGAGATAGTACACAATTGGCCGCCTCCAAAAAAGAAGCACATAGTCACTTAGTGAGGTCTTCTCTGAATCGATCCTTCAATGTACTATTTTCTTTCGCAGATTTGATGCAAAAATATCTATAGGTCTTACTCTTCTGATCGGTGTGAGTGACATCTGAAAGAAAATAATGCATTTGAAACCTTGTCAAAGTTCAGTGTTTCCAATGTATCTTTAGAGTTCGCAGTCTGATCTCTTTCTATTCTTTGGCCCAAACTCTAAAATCAATTACAGAAATTCTAGGGCTCAAACAGGACCCATCATTTTTGAACCGTTGCGGGTGGCCATTTGTTCTCAACGTAGTCTTTGATCTGTGGTAAATTTCTCATGCTTGTATAATACGACTGCAAATCGGGAAATTCGCGAAGTATGTCTGATTTGAGCTCTTCCAACAGTGACAACACGTACACGGCCAGAAGATCACACCATAGCACCTAAAAATATCCGAATTAGAAATAACAGTTGTTGATATTAATAATGAGGGCGAGTGTAGCTCGGTGGCTAGAGGTGCCTTGCAATACACTGCTAGTCATTGGATTCGATCTCGCACCCTGTGCTAACCGGCCGTTACATTCCTCCGGTGTCGGCAAAACTCTACGAGAGTTATCTGAGAGGATTGAAACACTCATTTGATATACTGGCAAGCCAGCACAAGTCATTGTGCAGGCCAAATGAGCATTCAGTCACCTCTACGATAACTACAGATGGAATTCTGCGCTAGGCATTTCACGAACTAGAAGTGGATCGGCGGATAACGCTTTGTCGTTTACCTCATGTCCAATCAAACAAGGCTAGAATGGTTTCGCTCTATAAAAACTGGATGACAAGAATGTCTGCAAAGAAGCCGCAATGCTTAGGAACTAATACGAGATAAGTTTTCAGAAGCAATTCTGGACATGATTCAGTAATGCACTAAGTAGTCTGAAAACATAAGCGTGATTAGGTCTTGCGTTGACGCTGGACTTCCTGGAAAAATATGCAATGAAAGGCATGTTGTAAAGATGTACAGTCGTTTTCTTCTTCTGTCTTTAAATTTTCCTCTACCTGTTGCTTTCAATTTTCTCTAATTTCTCTTGGAAAATGGTCTTTACGGTGATATTCCTGCAGTTTTGCTTACGGTTCTTTTCCTCTATCGTACCTTCTTCATAAGGAACAAGCTGAGTGAGCCATCTTCGCTCTCATTCGGTTGGCGATCTACTGGGGTATCATTTCACTGTTCAGATTTAAAAGAATGGAAAATAGTGTGGATTGGAAATTTCATCTCTTCACACCTAACAACATGTAACACTTACTTTGTTTCCTACAAAATGTTCTCCGCCATTCTTTTTCAAGTGATCCTCCAAAATTCTCAAACGAATGGGGCACTGATTTGTGAAAATGGCCTCTTTCGCATCCTCAAATCTCAGAATTAAGGGATGCTGAGCTTACAAGCGCTGTCAATTCTAGCCGATGATAACCTTAAGAACGGGATCTTCTTCATGGGCATATTCAGCACCGATTGCCATCAAATCTGTGAAAGCATCAGCATACATATCGCACTTTGCTGAATTAGATTTAGTTGCTCCGGCAAAATCTGGAATTCAGCCAATAACCGGTTAGAAGATACCTTTTCACCAATTCCTGGACTATTTCTCGATTTCAGAGCTGATTTT